GACCTTCGAACGGTTATTAACCTAGTTTAGTGTGATCAGAATCAGCTTGAGGTATGTGGATGGATCTAAATGTGAATATGGGCTTTATATCAGGCCATATGTGTTCATTTCAGCGATACGCTCCTTTGGACAAGTAGTCGGGGTGCTATTTCATCGTTAGCTATTTCATGTAATGATATATAGTGCCGTATGAGTTGTGAGACGGCTTGGTGAATTTATTATGTGTTAAGGTTCCACGTAGAGATGATGTTATATGAGCAGGATGGCTCTCGAGATTCAGATCGTATATCACACCTCAGTTGTGCTTGAGTTTTGTAGCCTATGGCACTATATGTCTCCCCAGGGATGGTATTATGTACTTAGCGTGCTTTTGACCGATATTCGGTATTTTGTTATAATGAGCAATTTAGCTCGATATATATCTCCTTATGTGAATTCTATGTGTGGATCGGGTGGCACGCCACCATAGGTATGTTATTTGGATCGGGTTGCATGCTGCAATAGTGTGATGTTGAGTACAGTTTTCCATATGCTATTTTTTATGCCTTGTTTCCTATTTTCTAAGGAAAGTCCATATTAGTGCGTGAGTTGAGTAGTTCCTTCCAGAGTTCGTTTTCCTTTTGTCACGTTCGAGTTCATAGCCTATTGGCACATTGTGGCATCATATGAGACATTTGATCATGTCCGAGGTGGCTTATTGCTTGAGCGGTTCGTACTGGGTGAGACGAGATCATTGGATTTAAGATCAGTGCAATCTGATTATATGAAGTATATTAAGGAGCTAAGACCATTATTTGGTTCAGAATGAGGTGATGGTCCTTGTCAGGAGTATAGACCCAATGATTTGTTGATTCGGCAGTTGGGTATGAGTTTCTACACACCTCTTCCGTCTTGGCGGTATTGTAAGAGTTAGAGCAAGACCTATATAGGTCATGAGGTGCAATGGGAGCATCAGATTCGTGGAAATTCGACTAATTTGATCAGAGAATGTTATTGTAGTCCTGTGAGTAAAGTGGTGCAAGGTGTGAATTCAGCTGAGGTATGCAGTCATGTTTTGGTGCTGCAGGTAATTATTGGTGAGCGTATGTTGGAACAGGCCTGGCAGAGAATTCCGGTTGTAGGAATTGGGCTCTAAGGCTTATTTGCTTAAGTGAAAAAGGATATCTTTAGATTGATCAAGCTAGGGTGCCTAGCTGAGTTGTGGTAGCACCGGTAGGTGCTCGAGGTGTTAAACAGTGATTTCGGACAACCCCAACACAGTTCTTAGCACGTTCGGGAACGAACATATGTTTAAGTGGGAGAGAATATAACGACCCAACCGGTTGTTTTGAGCTTTAGCACGTTCTTCGGCGGTTTGGAGACATGAACAACTTCACTTCAGGTATTATGACTTGTACGCATCGTCGAAATTGGATTTCGGGAAGTTCGGAGTTGATTTGGAAAGAGAATTCTCATTTCGGAATCCTTAAGTTGAAAGAATTAGCTAAGATTGGATTTTTGAGTAAACGACCTCAGAATCGGGATTCGAAGGTTCTAGCAGGTTCGTATGATGATTTCAGACTTGGGCGTATGCCCGGATCGGATTTCGGATGACCCGAGAGCATTTGGTGCCTAATGTGGAAGTTAGCATTTTGGAAGAAATTTCATAAGTTTGGGTTGAAGTGCATTTCGGTGTTATCGAAGTCCGTTTGGGATTCCGAGTCTAGGAGTAGCTCTGTATGGTGATTCTGGAGTTGGGAGCGTGATCGGAAATGAATTCGGAGGTCCGTGGGTCGTTTTGGAGTCATTTGGCTAAAGATAGAAATTTGAAGGTTTTTGAGAAGTTTGACCGAAAGTGGACTTTTTGATATCGGGGTCAAAATTCGATTTCGAAAGTTGGAGTAGGTCCGTAATGTAGATTATGACTTGTGTGCAAAATTTGAGGTCAATCGGACGTGATTTTCTAGGTTTAAACATCGAAAGTAGAAGTTTGAAGTTCTAAAGTTCATAAAGCTTGGATTGGAGGTCGATTCGTGATTTTAGCATTGTTTGATATGATTTGAGGCCTCGAGCAAGTTCGTAATGTGTTTTGGGACTGGTTGGTATGATTGGTTGGGGTCCCGGGGGCCTCGGGTGGATTCTGGGTGGTTAACAGATCGAAATTAGAATTTTGGAGAAGGCTGAAGTTGCTGGTTGCTGGTGTAACAGCACCTGCGAGGCTAGGGCCGCAGGAGTGGTCGTCGTGCCGCAGAAGTGGTTAGAAGTGAAGGGCTCAGAGGCCACAAGTGCGAAGGAAATCCTGCACCTGCGAGATCGCAGATGCGGCCGGTGCGGCGCAGAAGAGGGCTGGGGTAGCAGGAGGAGGACCGCAGAAGCGATATTGTAACCGCACCTGCGGAACCGCAGAAGCGACCAAGTGACCGCAGATGCAGAAAGGGCTGGAGGCAGTGAGTGTTTTAAAATTGGGATTTGGCCATTTTCACTCATATTTTCTTGGCTTGGGTGGTTCTTGAAGGGTTTCAAGAGGGGATTTTCATCATCAACGACAAGGTAAGCTAACCCCACCTATCTTGAGTTAAATATATTGATTGTGTATGGATTTGAGCATGTAAATTGGTAGGAATTTGGGGGTTTGAGGAAAACCTAGAAAATTCGTGTTCTTGAATTTTGACCACGATTTTGGAAATGAAATTAAGAGAAAATCATATATTTGAGTTCGTGAGTTCATGGGTAAACTTTATCTTCGAAAAATTTCGAAATCCGGTCACGTGGGTCCGAGGGCAATTTTGTCAACTTTTCGATCGGGGTTAGGAATTGTTAGAGATTGGATTGCCATGAGTAATTGAGCATATATTAATGGATTTGCATAATTATTGGCTAGTTTTGGAGCATTTAGCATCAGTTCAAGTTTTCGGAAGAGCGTGGAATGTCGGTTATGGATCTTCGGAGCGAGGTGAGTCTCCTTTCTAACCTTATAAGAGGAAATTGTCTCCATAGTTGAAATAATTGGTTATGTGCTCCTATTTGTGGGTGCTACGTACGCACGAGGTGACGAGAGTCCGTGCGTAACCACTATTATGTGTAAGTCCGGGTAGTCTAGGACCCAAAAGCAAGCTATACTTGGAATATTTGTAACCTTGTTGACAGTTTGAATTGCTTAAATCATATCGGATTAGTAAATGAATTTCTAAAAAGATTTAAACTTCATTTTCAAAAATGTTTAAAAGAGAATTGGCATTTCTTTTGATAATTGTTCCCTATTGATTTCTTGATTGACTGTCTGTGTGTGTTTAATTTCGGAACGGGCCGAATGCCTCGTAGATTAAATAGATGCATCTATGGTTCGCGCCATTCGACCCTCTGGTAGTGCACATTTTAAATATTATTGGATCGGGCCGCATGACCTCGGCATGATATGCGCATGCTTGTATTGCTTGCTTGAGAATTTTAAATGTTGATAATTGCCCCTTCCTGGCCAGAGATAAATTGATAAAGATAATGAAAAGTAAACTTTTTGAAATCCTTTATTATTTGAGAAGTTTTTTACTTGCTTTCCGGCTTTATGAGTTAAATTTTGCTTTATGAAATCCATGAATTTCTCACATTTTTTCTATATTATCATTGGACATTAGTAAGTGTCGAAGTCGACCTCTCGTCTCTACTTCTTTGAGATTAGACGGGATACTCATTGGGTACACGTTGTTTTCGTACTCATACTACACTTGCTGTGCATTTTTGTTGCACAAGTTCAAGTGTGGCTAGTGGCTTAGTGGCATAGTGGCATGGTTGATACGGAGACTTAGGTGAGCTGCACTTCTCGAGAAGACCCGCAGCCAGCAGAGTCTCTTCCAGATTATTTTATTTATTTTCTGTCCAATTTGTATTCCGAACGATTGTTGTATTATATTACTTCCTAGAAATAGCTCGTGCACTTGTGACACCAGATTCTGGGATAGTTATGGGATATTTTGTAATAACTTCTTGACATGTATATTTAATTTGAACTGAGTATCTTTTACTAGTAAAAATTGAAGAAAAATCAGAGTTTTTTGCAATTGTTTAAATGAGAATTTAATTAAGTATTTGCGGTTGGCTTGCCTGACAGCGGTGTCCGGCGCCATCACGACCCCCAGTGGATTTTGGGTCGTGACAGTATTGAGAAATTAGAATAGTGAAAACATTTCCCAATTTCCAGAACTTTTTCTCTCTCTGTTGCCTTGTCTCTCTTCTCCATTTTCCTCCATTAATAGAGCATTTGAGCTCTTAACAACCCATAAAACAACTCTTTCAAAGCAAAAACAGAAAAGTTCTATTAAGAGTTCCTTTGCATCCTTCGACTGCTTTAAACATTGAAGTCAAATCTCTAATCCATCATAATACCTGCAGTAGTTAGCAAGCGCGTGTCATTCCAGTATGCATTTCATATCAAGAAAGTACAGAGATTTATAACATGTGAAAAGAGAAAATATGCAAATTCCTTTGTCAGGGCTGTACCAGGTTTTTCATCTAGACTGTAGTCTGTGGATTTCTGCTATCTGAAATACCAATCAGACAGTAAAAAGATAGGTGCATACTTTACTGCAAAATAGTTACTTATCTTGTTATTCTCAGGCCATAATAAAAATGATAACACACTGCAGATCTATCATTTTAACTAAAAACGGTAAATGAATTAGCAGAAAACATCATATACTCCATAGTTGACCAATGACCCGCAAAACAAAAACCAGTGTAACATAACAATTATGTATATAGGTGACATTTTCAATCCATGGAATCAATCATCATGCCACTAGAAGCAGGCTGGAAATATTAACAAAATATCACACTAAACCCGAGTTCGAAGAATACAAAGTGATGGAGAAGAAAGAAATTGAACATCTCAAGATCTGAAGCATGTAAAAATATGTATTAATACGGATTAAAAAAGAAACATCAGAAGTTTTTCTATGGAAATAATATTCCTTCAACCAAAACAGAAGAATGAAAGTGGATTGAAAATAATAAATAACAAAAGAAAGAGGCGGAAAAGAACTCCTAAATAGATAGATTGAACTGCCTATTCTGCTAGACAGCAAAGAAATGTCACTAACATAGTGTTTCAACTCCATACATTGAAAAGCATCACATTTTCCATAACACAGCGTGAGAGAATAAAGGCTCAGATTTGGACAATGACTACACAGTATCAAGAGCTTGATAAGACTTTACAGAGCAGCTAATTTTAAGATACAGAAAGTACTCTACTATTTCCTGATCCAGAAAGAAGATGCAGCCGGAGCAGACCATACAAGGAGCTCTGCCACTTCACATACTGGCCTTTTATAAGTGAACCCTCAGGAACTGGAAGTCAGCTTAAGTATCACTTACGATCTTACTTTAGCAAGACGAGCCCTTAGTTCTTCTAGATCTTCCTCGTCATCAGCACCCTGCATTTATTTCATCATTGAAAAGATCAATTAAACTTCTATGCAGTGGTTTATAGATGTGACATACCTCTGCATCTCCTAGTGCCTGGGCAGGTTCCTTTAACTTCTCCTTTCGGACTGCTTCAGGAAGTTGCGCAGCAGTCTCACCAGCAATTTCAGTTAAGACCCTGTCAACTTCTTCTTCAATCTCCTCTTCTATGTCTTCTGAATCCAATGCAGTGTCCACTGCATCATTCACAATTTCTTCAATGACACCAGCCTGAAACAACAGTAGAGAAAGAGTGATTATATTTTCCATTTCAGGCAGAAACACACACGCACACACACACCCCAAAAAAAGTGGACGAGTTGATTCAAAAGTTAAGTCAAAGTGCAGAAGTTGTCCTCATTTTCTCATAGGGAGGCAGGCTGATCGATTTGAAAGGAAAGTCAAAGTGCAGAAGAAGAAAGAGTATAAAAAGAACAAAACATGATCATGTCGGCGTCATGAAGCTTAATAAACTATTTAAAATTCAGAATCATACAGATCCAAAAGGGATTCACCAACCAACAGAGAACTCAGACATCTCTTCAGAGCTTAAAAATCTAATGCCAAATAGATACCTTGGTCATTTCTTTATTGAATTCCTGCATCGTAATAGCCATTTTTGGAGCCTTCATAAGATTATTAACAAGTTTCATGACTTCAGCACTCTTGGACAAATGCCCCACTGTGCGAGCAATAGCTGCAAAAATGAATTAGAAAATCATGAGATACTTGAAAATTTCAATATACAAATGAATAAAGTTAGCAAATTAATACATTCATCCAGCTTAAGCAATCAAAGTATGGTTGTCTAGCTGCAGTTTAAGGACAATTTAAACAGCTGCTACTTACCTGAAGGACATAATGGGAACATGTAATGGAGCAGAAGGATTTCGATCAGAAGTTACAATATCCAACTTTTAAAACGTATACGTGCAAACTCCATGGTTAACTCAATTTTGCAAGATATAGTAGCAAAATGTGAGCATCCAAAATCAGATCGTAGAAGCAAGAGGAAACAATCTCGAAAAGCATTAGCCAAAGCTAGGCGTAAGATATTACAGGCTTCTTCTTTCGTACTGGGATATAAGGTTTAATGAAAATACGATAGACTTCAAATGTCTTATCGACACTAACAAAACTATCCGAAACTGATCTTCATTGAAAAGTTTCTTGGTAAAGCATAAACATAAGGCTTAACTTATTATCTTTAATTACACAGAAGTCCAAATTCAAAAATATATATCTTTACACATAAAGCACGTGAAATCCTCCCAATAATTATAACAAACTTACCAAAAGTCCATTCCAGAAACTAGAAGGCAAAAGAATAAGTTCATAACTAGGAACTGCTAAAGATATATCTTTTTTCCTTTAGAACAAATGAAAGTTAAAGGTATACTGCCTGGCGCTACACATCCGACAATTACTTCTGTCTCCTGTTTACATGTTCCAGACTTGCCGACTACATTTACTCATCAGTGTTATGCTACGGGATTACATATTAGTGATGCAGCTAGACTGTACTGATGTTGTAACACTATTCAATCTCCTCCACCATATATGGGATGAAATTAATGCATGACTCCATGTTTTGCTGACATTTTTTGGACCATTAAGATTTCCTGACCCTTTTAAGAGATCAATGGAAGTATTTCCTCCTCCCCTTTTGCTTCCATCAAGCTCTATCATCATTTTCTTCTTTTTTTGATGAAGTAAATGGTGTATTGATTAAAAGGCATCTAGAAGATGCAATGATTACAAATGAAAAGGAGATATCAGCTCCAAGGAAAGACAAAAACCTATTACAATACTATAGAGCTGATACACTCCAAGAAAAGGTCAGGGTTATACACAGGGGTGTGATTCACCCAGCAAAAAGGTAAAACCAAACATCTAGGCTTGAGTTTGTGTCTTACAGTTGAAATGCCATCAAAGTATCTTTGATTCCTTTCTGTCCATATGCACCACAAAACATGTAACAAGTGAGGACGACCAAACATGTTCACTCTATCATCGTTTTCATAACCAACTACCATGACAGCTGAGGACCAACCAGGTAACAAGTGAACATGTTATAATTGGATAAAGAGATATGATTAGATAGAGAGATTAGTTAGAAGCTCCCTTTCCAATAATTTTCGAATAGTTCAGATAAAACATGGTGGCTGACAGCACTAGAAAGGGTACTGTATTCATTGCCATTGATGATATTCCTTCTATTGGGAACTTCAGATGATATGAAACAGCGGGAGATGTTCAGTTTCTCCTTTCAGCAGTGATGAGTGTGAGGCATGCTTTATAAGATAATGACAATAGGAGGGAAGAGAAGAATGCAGTCAAACGTAAAAAGTATGACCTTTATATCAACTCAAATATCAGGTTTCTAGTTTTGTTTACCAAAATATTTCTAATCGTCCTAACCCCCTGACAAGAATCTTTCACCTCTAGTCATAGGACACCAAAAGTATATTAACATTTGGGAGTCCTAATTCTAACTTCCGGACATCTACAAATCAAAAAATAAACTTTTACCTCACAATCAACCCACATGTCATTAGCTATGCATCTTGAAACTTCAACTCAACAATTATGGAGTACAAGGTATATTCTCCTTGGGAGGGTGCAGAAGTACAACAGGACATTTAGTTTGAATTGAGGGCATATATACGATCATAAAAGTGAAAAGTTCCTTAAACAAGAATACTTGCACCCAGGAAACTGAGAAGCCCAGTGAATTTAACTACATCCTAAAATTTTAATGAGTCAGATAAAGGAGAATGCGTCAAGAATTATTGGTACTTCATTTTCAGAAGATACATACTGTGCTTCCAACAGTTTGCTCATCAAAGAGCTTAGAGGAGCAACTGCACACTTGTCAATAAATAATGACAAAATACAAGATGGAGTGAGAGTGTGATCATACCGACACTTTCTCCAAGGTGCATAGATATCGAATTTAATTGTGCCTTGTTCTCGTACAATCGGTTCACAGTTATTTTAGATCTCACAAGCTCTTTCGCTAGTGCCTGTGATAAACACATAACACTGGTATATGAATAAGCAAAAGGAACATAAAAACATGAAAATAGAAGGCAACTAACTAATGATGATTATGCTGGGAAGCCCTAATATATTCAACATAGATAAAATAGCTCCTTATTCCCAGGAACCAGAAAACAAAGTTTTGGCTATGACATAAACTACCAAATAAAGCCTCAAAGCAATCATCAGCAGAAGATTAAGTTAATAGCAAATGTATAAATTTCAACTATAAGTAGCAGTTTAAATTACCTTGGCAGAACCCATGTCATTTCGCTTTGCAGCTTCTTTAATTGATTTCTCTACATTCTTCTCCTCTCTCTGTATATCTGAACAATTAAAACCCCAAAATTACATGAAATTAACCAAAATCAGTTAAGATCCAATAATCATCAAACATTCAAATCATCAAAGAAAAAAAACACAATAATTTTTTACCTCGAATTTGGCGTTCGATATTTCTGCACTCTTGTCGGAGGCGACGTTGCCAATCTCTCAAAAGCTGTTGCGGATTCGGCTTCGGCTTCAATATATTCTTCATTTTCTCCATTTTTCCTTTTCCGAAGCTCCTAAAATCAAAGCCTTGACTAGAAGATCGAACAGCAATCAATCCAATTGCGTGTTTCTTTCGCTGATGATCGTCCAACTTCGAACCTAAAATAGCCCTTACGATTTATTCTACGTTAAATTTGCAGAATAAGTGAAAAAGATAGAAAAAAATTTCACCAAATTGACTTGGATGAGGACTCAAAGTATGAAATATTGAATCAGAAAGGCGCGTAGGAGAGAAGCCGCCGTGAGAAAGGAGGTTTCCGTTCGTTATAGGAGTAGTTGAAATCTGACATGTCGGATTCCGAAGTTTCTATTTGTAAAAGTCCATGATTTCTCTATTATATTTTTACATGCATAAAAACACCTTAATATTTTTAGCTATTTTCATTTATCCTTTACTATTCCTCAAAGTTTCTCTCTCCCCAAGCCAAAAGTGCTGCTTTTTTTCTTCAATAAAGTGCTATATTATCTCAATATGAGGTATTTGACCAAGTTTTTTTTTAGGAAAAAATAATGCTTTTGATTAAAAGCTAAGGGCGGCAAGTGGGCCTAGTTGGGTCTCAAATTTGCGGGCCGCGGTCCCGATTTCGGTACGGTCCCTAAATAAACAGTTCAAACGGTCCCGGGCTAAATGTACTTTTTGTAGGAAACAGCCCTGGACCGTGCCCACTAACTCACGGTCTCGAGCTAAACGAGTCGGCAGTTCAAACGGGTTAAATGGGTCCAACGGTTATGTAATTTTTTTTAATTAAATACAACTTAGAGACAAAAAGATGTTAAAAAGACATCTGTCACGACCCAAAATCAAACTAGCCGTGATGACACCTAACCCAACCCGCTAGCTAAGCCAGTTAGTAATAAACCAGTTCAAATGATATTTATTAAGAGAAGAAATGATAATACAACTAAACTATTATACAAAGAATTCTCAATGACTAGTAGTACAAGTCATGAGCTTCTAAGATTTAGAGTTTACAAAGCTAGTATGAAATAAATACATCGTCTTTCCGAATGTACATAAACAAATTTTCAATAGTATAGAGCTACCATGAACAAGAGGCAGTTGTAACTAGAACACAGGTACGTCTTCAATGCTAGCTTCTGTCATACATAGCAACATCAACATCCAAATTATGCACGCAAGGTGCAGAAATAGCTTAGACATGATTTCTAACATGGATCACAGCTCAATTACTCTAGCACGTAGAGATTTCGTGGATACAAATAAGATTAGGTGACTACATAGTACCACAGAAATAACCAAGTTACCATTCACACGGTGAACGCCCACACGCCCGTCACAGAGCATGCGCGTCACCTCAACACCAAACACATATCACGTATATTCGGGGTTCATACCCTCAACACCAAGTTTAGAAGTGTTACTTACCTCGAACAAGCCAAATCCAACACCGAACAAGCCAAATGATGCTCCAAAAATACCATCCCGTGCGTACCGACCTACGAACGGCTCGAAACTAGCAAAAAGCAACTCAAATACATCAAATAAAGCCTAAGGAAATAATTCCAATTGATAAAGGTCGAATCTTTACTCAGAATCCCAAAATCAACCAGAAAGACCGGGTCCCGCGGCTCAGAACTCAACAAAACTTATAAAATTCGATAACTCTTTCAATTACGAGTCTAACCATACTAATTTTACTCAAACCCGACTCCAAATCGATGTTCAAAACTCAAAAATTCACTTTATTAAATTTTAGACAAAATCCCCAAATTTTACTTTTGAAATCATCAACCAATTGCCAAAAATGAAGATATATTCACGAAATATAATAAAAACGAGTAGATAACACTTACCCAAATCCATTTGATGAAATCACTTTAATAATTGTCCAAATCCAAGCTCCCCAACTCAAAATATGACCAAATGAACAAACCCTTGATTTATATGCTTCCGCCCAGCTGTTCTGTCTCGTTTATCGTGCCAAATGATCACGAACCTCACTTTTAATGCCTCCAATAGATTCCTTATGAAATTCCAGTTACGTTAGACTTTTGAGTCACTCTATTTGACCTTATAATGAAGAAGATATGTTGGTTTCAATATTTGCAAATAGTGCAAATTTCTAAATACGAATTCAGTGGCAATTTCGTAATTAACCCAATTCTTAGTAAAATGACCATAAATTCCTCATACGATGTCAAAACTTGATGATTCCAGTTGCTACAGTTCTAAAATTACGATAAGGATCTAATGCTTCAATAAAAAAAAATTGAAGCTCGTTTGCTTAATGTGGTACCATTTATGCTTGAAAAAACGACGTTGAAACATTAAAAAAAACGAGCGCAACACAAACTAAACATATCCGAAACTCACCCGAGCCCCTCGGGGCCCCGTCCGAACATACCAACAAGTCCCATAATATAACATGGACTTAATGGAGGCCTCAAATCACACATCACAACATTGAAACGACGAATCGCACATCAATTCGAATTTAACTGAACTTTGGACTTTCAACTTCCAAAACTCGCGCCAAAACATATCAAATCAACACGGAATGAACCCAAATTTTTCATACGAGTCCTAAATGACATAACAAAGCTATTTCAATTCCCGGAACCACAATTTGAATCTGATATCATCAAAGTCAACTCTCGGTCAAACTTATGAACTTTCCAGACCTTCAAATTTTCAAATTTCGCCAATTTGCGGCGAAACCTTCTAGAAACATCCAAATGCAAATCTGGGCATACGCTGGAGTCCAAAATCACAATCCGGACCTAACTGAACAATCAAAACTTCAATTCGAGGTCAAATACTAAAAAAAGTCAAACTTGGTCAACTCTTGTAACTTAAAGCTTCAATCATGAAATTTATTCTTCCAAATCGATTCCGAATAACATGAAAATCAAAACTGACAATTCATACAAGTCATAATACATCATATGGAGCTACTCATGCCCACAAACTATCAAGCAAAGTGCAAATGCTCAAAACGACCGGTCGGGTCATTACATCCTCCCCCACTTTAACATATGTTCGTTCTAGAACGTGCCGAGAGTCATTCCAAAGCCATCAACTGCCGTGTAACCTTACCATACACATACCCGAGGGTGATTCCACATCACCCTATTCCATATAAGCTCGCCAACACAACATAATTGATGATCATTACTTCAACCTCAGCCCGTAAACCACAAAATCCAATTTCCAAACCTGGAATTTCCTATAAGACCCGAATCTCTCTTCCACACACTGTACGAATTTGAACAAGTTGTATCAAGCCATAATCATAACCCAAGATGTAATCACATGACATACCACACGACTCGCATACTCGTAGCAAAATTTCTGACCATAGTAGCTGCTCAAAACAATCCAATGCTGGTAATAAACCTCATATCAAACAAAACCTCATTCTAAAACCTTCGTATAGTGCCAATGATGAAAGAAACGCGCAGAAACTCCTAATCACTCATCAGATCAACAAGCCATGGAGCTCGATCTCCTTCGACAAGAACTATAGCTAATTTCTAAGCCGATCAGCGACATTGTCTTTTTAAATATACCGCAATAAAATCCGATAATACCCATTCTAGGTCCGACGACCTCCTCTTATCAAATACAAGCTACTCTACTGACATGCCACACCAATACTACACAGAGCCACAAACCGTGCAATCCATGCACCAATACGGAACAATTCAAATGTGCTCAATCATGAAAAATGACTCAAATGAGAGTACCGTCCTGCAAGTTCAACAACTACCACCAGTACCGCAATGCCATGAGTCCATCACACACAGTATAACCACGACACACAAATCTGACACAAAGGATCATATCTCAACATAACTTTGTTGCAATGCGTGACCCCGTCCAAACATTATCAATATGGAGTACCTCAAGCTAGGGCTGGGCATATATTGGGTATAACCAATAGTCCAAACCAATAAAATGTTATTGGGTTATCGATATCGGGTTATTGGGTAAATGTTTTGATAACGATTTAATGTTATTTGACTATTGGGTTATCGGTTCGGGTCTCAGTTTACCCAATTTTATTAACAGTTTAACCGATAGCCCAATAAGTTTTAACAAAATTATTATTTTACTCACTAAGTATTTAAAGCCACCTTATGATTTCATTTTCTCAACTCTCTCGGCGGTTACTTTTCATCTTCAAACCTTAATCCTTAGAGTAAGTTTTAAACTTTTTTGAATTTCTCATCTTAATTTTTCAGTTATGGTTTTTAGTTTTATACTTTAAATAATTAATTGTTTAGATTTTTAGTCTTTTCTATTTGTTTTTTTTGTTGCACTGATTCTTTTGTATTTACAAGATTAGGATTTTATTATTTTCCTATTCATTATGCACGCCCACAGTGAGATAGTTAGTAAGAATATATTGTTGAATATTTTATTCCTTACTCCTACTAACTTATAACTTAAAAATTGAGATCCTATTGGGATTTTCAAATGTAAATAAAGAAAGTTTTTCTTTTTAAAGTTGAAATTTAATCCATCTTTTCTTATGAGGTAAAATTCAGTTCCTTTCTCTTGGAAGTATGATCACGATTTCTATAATAAAAACATGAGTTTTTTGGATATTTTTTTATTATTATCGGGTAAACCGATAACCGAACCGGTAAGGATCGATAACCGACAAACCGATATTCGATAACCAATATCTTATCGGTTCGGTTATCGGTTTAACATATTTAGAAACCGACAACCGATATGTCGAACCGATAACATTCACAACCGAACCGAACCGACTGATGCCCACCCCTACCTCAAGCCACCATGCCCAAAATCAACAGCCACGCACAATTCGACCTCAAGTACCCAAGGTGCATGACCATAACTATGGAGGAACCAATAACACAATAACACAGTCCGAAAAAAATAACCAAATACGCAATCAATCATTCAACACCCTAATATCCATCTCGCTCAAATTCCTCTATAAGGCCCAAATAGGACCGCACCATGTGTGCCTATAACCAACGGATGCCAACCCCTCGTAGCATAGAAGGGTAACTCATAAAACATCTCAGAACATGAATAAGCTCAACTTTAACCAAATGGCACATCCCTCAACAACAGTAGTATGGAGTCAACTAATCCGACCCGTTGTAGAATACACATTCTCATTGGGCCTGCCGATGGACCCCAAATCCACTCTGGTCACCCATAAATAGATAAATAACCCTCCAAAGGTCCACAACGATTGAACCATAACATATACTATCACCTGGCTAGCTTTGGACACATCTTCACATTCCACAGCCAGACACGATCTATTTCTGAGAACTTCTGGTCTCCAAGTCCATAGAACACATGAGTCA